TAGCTAAGTGGGCTACAATATAAATTTCATAGTGAAATTTTGGGGCTCTTTATCGAAACTGCATGTAAGTTGGTGCACCATCAGGATCTTATTGTGGCAAGTATCTATTAAATATTTAGATTCTGATTTGAAAGAAATGCTATGTACTCAGACTCCTAACTTGAACCACAGTTTTAGGATCTCGACAATTCTGAAAGCTACTTTTATTTTACTTTATTAGTGATAAATTAGGGACTATATTGCTAAATGAATGCCCAAAGAGTCAGAATTAACAAAAGGTCCTGATGAAAGGAAAAGGTGAGAAAAATGATTAGAATTTTATGGAGAGTGATTTTCTAAAAAGCCTCTTGCTTATTTTTAATACGGTAAATATTTGACTTTTTAAATCTCTTTTAGGCTTGTGATCAAATTGTCCATCTTCAATTTTTTAAGGGAGGAAGGGCACAGCAGATGGACTGGGCCTGAAATACCTGACCCATCTCTACTAAAAACCTGATGTTGCACATGTCTTTCTAAGATGAAGCACAGAGAATAACAGAGACCATACAGAGTCTCATCTGTTCAGTCATTTGATGTATTTTGCTATTGTTACAGCTACTGGGACTTGTTTTTATCTTGTCTGTGAGCACAATAATGGCACCATATTGAAATGTGTAAATACATTTTCAGGAATTATGTAAAACACCTCCTCTGTCCTGACAAAATGATGCACTTGGAATACATGAACCCTGGAGAAAATGCTATTGCCTTGGCTTCCAAATCCTTTGATTCCTAATCTTAGTGCTTGCAGAGGGAGAGTTATCTGACAAATATATCTGCCTGAATATTTAAATAAACAGTTTGTCTTGTCATTTGAACAACTCCTGTCAATGTTACTTAGTCCTTGCTCATGCATCTATCCCTATGAGTGATGATACAGAAACAGATGAGGTTAAGGTCGGTGTGTTAGCCCAGATCCACTCTTGCCTTACTCCTGCCTGTGGTGGTCCCGCAGTGAATATATTGGAGGAAATGAAGGCTTCAAAGGGGACAGTGTAAGGTCATGGACAAGAACTGTTTTTTTAAGATCATTTCCCTCCCCTCCATACCCCCCATTTTTGCAGAGGTTTCTAATATAAAGCGGTATCAGTCCTTTAGGTACCAGCTCACCCGTTAACTGCCTCTGAGCAATACAGCCAGGAGAAGGCAGAGGCCGCAGGCCGGCACCAGTGGGATGGCCCCTGCAGTGAGACGCTGCCACAGCAGCTAAACATGCCTTGAAGAAAGTATTATGTACCATGATGCGACTCCACATACATATGTCATACCTCGCCCTCGGCCAAACACCAGTGATGCACGGGGCTTCAGCATGCAACATCCCTAACAGATCTGGTCTGTGGAAAACACCGCCTGGGGGGGAAGAAAATAATAATAATAAAAAGGCACCCTTGCCAATCCAGATGTTGGAATTTTCCAATCCCCCCAGGAGGACAAGATAAACTGGGCATAATCCCAGTTCATGTAACACTTATTTTCAGTAAGAGCGGGGCCC